GTGATCTTGTTGGTTGCGTTTGCGTAACACTGTCGACATCATCCCCCCCCCCCCCCCCCCCCCCCCCCAGAAGCAAGTCCAAAATCAAGAGGCCGAGTTTGCAAACTCGGCAAGTCGATTTTGAGGCTTCTTATGATGATCGTACATGACGAAAGTGCTGTAAATACCGAGTAAAACGGATGTGCTCTTAAGATGGTTTTGAACAAGTGGCGCCTACTACTACTACCACTACCACTACCACTACCACTACCACTACCACTACTACTACTACTACTACTACTACTACTAGTCCATAAGTAACCATACTGGCGCTAGCTATCGCATGCAGAGTTGCATCCACTGGCACTTCAGGCAGCGATCGAAGACTTGCAAGGCTTCGCTGGAGGTGCTGTCCTGCGCTCTATGAGACAAGCCACAAGACATGCGGATGAATCATTCCAAACTAAGAACTACTCAGTCGGAACAAGCTTTTCGCAGACTTCCTTGCTGAAGGCGCATGCGCTCTGGAATGCGCTGTTCCAGGACAAGGACCTACGAAACTCTGACTGGCAACTTGCTCACAGCCTGCTCATGTCATAAGGCACAACATCTGCCGAGGTGCAAGACGAGGATGCTGGCAAGCGAACTCAATTTCACCGAAGCGACCATGTGTGGCCACTTCCTTCGTCATACGCACTAGCGTGACATGGCGGCATTCCTCCCACATCTGCACTCGAAGCAACAAGCCATGAAGGCAAGCCTAGCATCTCACTCACATGCATGCCGGCGTATGTAGCAGCAAAGCAGACGAGGGAGAACATGACCGCTGTGTACATTTCCGCTTTCAAGAAGTATCCTGGCTGATGCCCGGCTGGCATGAACAAAAGATCTTGAATAGCTATAACCTCTTGCACGGACAGCAGAAACACATTGTGCCGCACTGCCGGATATGGCTATGGTCTACATGTGCAACCCTCTTTGGTTCACTTTTAGTGTCGCTTCATGCTGAGGTCCCTACCTGATCCGTAACTTGACTCGACGGCAACTCTAGGAAACCAGAATGTGTTCATGCGAGGCATGCATCCTGCCGCGACCACCGATTCAGTGACCAGTATGGAATAGGTGGCCCACTTGGCCCAGTAGAAACAACACCAGGCAGAAGTCATGGCCTTTGCCGCAAAAACGTGCAACACGCAACAATCTGCATCTCTGTGGCACTTATGTGGACCGCAGACTGTCGGATCCATCCTGCAGCAGATGGCAGCAGTGGCAACTGCTGACGAACTGGGGTCGCAGCCACAGCGAGTGGAACCACAGACGCAGCTTGCATGCACTTGTGGAAGCAACTGTAGAATTTTCCGGCTCCTCGCAGCAGAATGGTCTTGGTAGCCAACACGGACGACACACTCACTGAGTCTAGGCTGGCATCTTGTGATGACTGCACAGGGCATGCCAGCAAATATGAAATACTCGGCTCCTTCAGGCAAAGGCCCCTGGAACCGTGCGATCAACTTGTCCAACGCGAGCGCCAGCACAAAGAGTTTAACCCACACAAGGAACAAGAAAAGTGTCTCCTGGCATCCGGGCTTGCGCACTGGCCGGATCTGACCCCTCACAGGCGGCGAACCCTCAGCGCTACCAGGTCGGGTGCAGTCGACAGAAGTTCACGACAAGCTGCTGATCTGTTATAGCTGCTGCGTTGAACACCCAGGTAATGGGGCAGCCGCCCAGCTAGCAGAAAGCGCCAGAACCTGGGCTCTAGATGTTACTGCACTCACTTCTGCAGCCTGCCACTCCAGCCGAAGATCTGCGCAAAGCAGAGCGAAATTCCAAAGCAAGCGATCAGCTCGTCGCTTTTCTGGCATTCGGCCTGTCATGCCCGGGCACACAGCAATCCCTTGCGTGAAGCTGCATACGTATGACTTAGCTGGCCTTCTGCTCGTCAGCAGTGATCACCTTGGATGCAGTTGCTGCGGTGCCGACGCCCGTAACCACCGCCTTTGCTTAAACGTTGTACAAGACAGGTCGCCTTGATCCGCAACATGGATGCCGGCACCAGCACAAGGGCCAGCACAACCGCAGACAAGAGAACGAATGCGAAGCTCATGCCAGCGGTGTTCCAGTACGGAGTCTCCTGCTGAGCGTGTCGGCACACAGACTCGCTTCATGAGGAAAGCTCCTGCCATGTTGCAAATGCATCTGCCGCAAGAAGGCCAACCAGCTGCGAGCCAAAGCTGGCTGCAATCTCCATCCTGCCACAGTGCTTGCGCCAAGGCAAACCTTCGGTGTGTGCCTGATGTCGACCTACCCACGATCAGCCAAGTATCGCCAGCTTCCGCTGCCTGGCTGCTCTCTTGCACTATTCTTGTTAAAACAATTCAGTTCATAACTGGAGGTAGAAGGAGCAATGCCACCTGCTCAAGACAAAGATGGACTGCAGCGCGGCATAGGCAAGGACAAAGCGTGCAAATGATACCTCAGATGCTCTTGGAGCTGCGATAACTGAAAGAACTCGACATGGACCAATGAAGTGCTTGAGGACTGTTGAATCACGTGGGGCATGTTCATCTGGGCTTTGTCATCTGTTGCCAAGGTCATAGCAACTCAGTGGCAAGTGACCCCCACTGAGCCGGCTCCACTTGCGGCCACAGCCGGTGCATCCTCCGGCCTGGGAATCAGACTTCAAGTACAATCCCAAAATCTCCCGGGTTATGGAATACACGGTCTCCTGTGATCAAGTGTAGATTGTGCAATTGTGCGAGTAGTGTGGTACCGGGATTTGATTTCGCAGGTCTCCTGAAGTCAAGGCGCCGGAAGGATGCCACGACATGACAACTGCATGTTGCTTCAGTGCGGGAATATTCAACTGCCAACCAGTCCCGTGTAGCTCGGGTCTCAGTCAAGCCCGTGTATCCAACGACCGACCATGCCTTCCTTCCATGTGTTCCTGTCTGCTACCCGCACCTCGAAGACTTCTCATTGCTGACGCGACATTGCTGACGACACGAGAAAACCTGTGCTCCAGTGTTGACATATTACTGTAACTCTTGTAGCCCCCCTATCTCGGCCAGTGCAGAAGCGGTGGCTAGTGACACTGCCGTTGCGAGCGGGATGCCCACGTCATGTCCCTACTAGCATCGATTGCACGGACGCAGAACTGGTGCGGACCTTGTTTATGGCCTTATGCTCACTGTACCTGTGGCAGATCACCGTGGCGTGCTGCCCGTCAAGGTGAACATGAAGCAACCCAGAAGATGGAGCTGAGCTGCCTCAATCCCTGCAATGAGACTTCCTCCGTCGCCACATTATCGGAGACCATCAAATTGGTCACCTCTCCTTAGGTTTGTCAAAACTGAAGCCAGTGCCCCACTTGGTACAGTGAACAGCACAAACCCTGCACCACAAGCAACCCAGTCATGGTGACCCTGGCGGATGCTAATAGGGTGCATACCCAACCCATACCCAACATCATAGACGCAAGATCAAGGTTGCAGCGCAGTCTCGAAGAATATAGAAGAGCTGGAGCGCACAGAACATGGCGATGGCAGGGCCGAGTGTCTGCCAAGTTGCCTGGCATGTGTTCTTATGCACATGCTTCTCCAGATTGAGCTGCTGCCTCCACAACTGCAGCCTGACCTTGCCTCCTTCACAAACTTCATCTTGGACTGCACTGCCCATGCAATTGCAGAAAAACAGGTAGTCGTGCCGATGAGGATCGTGGCCGCAGCCTTGTCTCAACTCCGACAGGAACCGGCGGCTGTGACTGGCGATTGGCAATCATGTACATCTTGCGACTCAGATGTACGTGTCACCAGGTAGCTGAGGCCGTCTGTCCTGTGTAAACCACAGTGGGAGGTGCATCTGCCTGAGTCTTACATAGCACAGTTTGGCTTTCTTGCTTGTCTCAAAATTTGAGAACTGAATTCACTTCCTTGAAGGTCAAGACACGGAGAATGGCTCGACTGCTGTGACCTTTGCTCTTTTGCGGATCTCCTTCCACAGACCGGACGAGCTGTTGAAGCCTGAGACAGCGGGGCTGCCTGCCGAGCTGGGCTGCACCATGCCTGGGCAGCCTGATGTTGGTTGCTTCTGCGTCAGGTCTCCAACGGAATCCTCCTGCCACTGAGCAGTTGTGGGAATTTTCGATGCAAACCTTCTCATTAACCTGAAGTTGCTTCATCATCTGCTCTCCTGAAGCATGTTCGGTTGAGCCTCTTTGCGCAGCAGTGGGTGAAGATCCGTTTCAGTGCCTCCATCTGCATCCAAGACCACCTGCTTCGGCCGTGCTTCGGATGAAAGCTACCGGGCGGTTTGGGCCGTGCCTGCGCCACGTGTGGCGAGGGGGCGCCTCATAAGCACTGCCAGTGTCAATCGCACGACATGAATCCAACTGACAGTTGTTGAACCTAACTCCTTCCAAGCACCGACACTCACACAAACACAATGCCGAACGGCTCCCCGAAACATCATGGAAAAAAGCCGAAAGGCAGAACGAGGTTGGTATGAAGATCAGATGCAGAAAACCTCAGATTCCACCATGTAGCTGCTCGTCGCTTCGAAGCGCCACAAAACACTCTACTACTCTACAAGATCCCCCTGTGAGTTTCTCCAAGGAGCTCAGTCTCATTCGCAGGCTCGCGTTGGTCGCTTCAGTGTCTCGACCTTTGTGGCTCCCCGCGGTAACAACCTGTCCACGGAATACAAGTATTCACGGAAGCTCTACGAACTGAGAGTCACCTCATATAATGTCAGTTTACATCTGAGTGCAATCTGCAGACCAACTCCGAGCTCGGAGGCCTGTCTTTGGCAGACGCATTGGGCTGGAGCTCCCAAGACTCTTTGAGCCACAAGCCACGGAACACGGCGTTCCTACAAGATTTCCGCATGAGGCAGAATGAAAATCAGATGGTAGCTCGCATGAAATCACAAGTTGCTGCTGTCTCGTGTCATCACAGTACATGCCAGCTCGGATTCAGGCAAGGAGCTGCAGGCTGTCATGAGCTGCCAGCTGCAACGGCCTGAGGTCTTCCAATAAACGTTATAATCAGCATCGAGACATGATGGCATGCAGCGTCTGACTCCGAATCTCAGGGGTTCCTGTTGCGGTCAAGACAGCAAACTCTCATTATCAGACATTCGTGACCCCACAAGTTGAACAGTCCAAAAGCGACGAGAGCCTCGCATTTCGTGACCCCACAAAGTCAAAAAGCGACAAGAATCTCACATTTCGAGACCCCACGAGTCCAAAAGCGACGAGAGTCTCGCATTTCGCGACCCCACAAGTCCAAGAGCCGCGAGAGTCTCGCATTTCGCGAGGCGTGCATTACTACCGGCGGTGACGCATCGCATGCATGGAGCAACCTGTGCAGCTATTCACTTGCTTTGGAAGAACTAGCTGCAGGCGGCTAAGCTGCTTCGTTCGGGATCGTGCCTTCCATGTGGTATGCCACCATCTGCCAGCCACATCGCACGCACATAAGAAACTGTTTTGACATGTTTCAATCGAAGCTTGATGCTTAATGTTTTCAGGGTGAGGGTTGAAGTTGCAGTGTGTAGAGTGGGACTGTGATGTGGCCTTGGGCTGTACTGGGAACTGTATCAGGGTTGTTCGTTCGGGGTACCAAAGTTCATAGCTCGTGTACGCCAGGGTATGCACAGAGGGTGGCAGGATTGCCGGGGCCGGATAAGATCTCTACAGTAACTTTTTTTGGCTCGGGACTGTCTACCTGGTCAATGATTGCAGAGCTATGGTCACTAACTGAAGGGCTAGCTTAGCAAGTGGACCACCGACGTGTTTACGTGAACAGGTAAAGCACGCAACGCGCTTCTTTTGCGTGAGCCAAGCATGTCAGCATGAGGCCACCTAAGCTCTCCGAACAGAACCTACCAGAGGGTGTGGGTGCCGTGTACATGTTCTACTAAGCGAGCTTATGCAGGATACCGAGTTCAGGGCTGAAGCGGTTTCGGCTTCCGACCTGCATCCTCACGATCATGAACCCTCAATGTTCTAGCTGGGTCCCGGGCATTCAGCTGCACAGTGGGCGCAGGGGGAACGCTTTTGCTTAGCACTGAATCCCTAAATTTAGATGCCCAGCCTTCCGTGATCCCTTATTTGGATCCTCAATTGCTATCCCAATTATGCTGCAAATTTAGCCCAGAGCTGATATGTGCTCTGAACCCCTTAAAACCTGAAGCTCTTTTACCCTAAACCCCCAGACCTTGAAATCCTCGAACCTCAAACGACATGGCCAATCAAACCCTGAGCCCTCCTGGACCCCAAAACTCTAGGGTTTCAGTGCGAAAACCAAACCGCTGAAACCAAAAAGACAAGCCCAAGACCCTAAATCCCCAGCAAGTGATAGCCGTTTTCGTGGATGCCGCCGGCCCGACCGCATCACTGCTGGACGGATGGACCGCATAGCTGCTGGTCGGATGAACCGTGTTTCTGGTGAACGGATGATGCGATGATGCCGCCTGTCGCCTGCGTTCTGCAGGGTTTAGGGTTTAGAGGGATACTTGGTATGTGGGGTGTGGGGCTTAACCAGGCTACACAAGGCTGAGATATCGTAGGGTGTTTGAGTTGCTAAGTGTGTGGGGTTTGCAGTTTGGCGCTGAAGCTTTATGTTATGCGCTTTGGTCTGCGTTTTGATAGGAAGAGCGGTTCAGAGGCATCGGCTAGGTTTCGCCAAGCCACACAGAGTGCATCTTGCTACAAAAGTCGACTTCGTTAAAGGTTGGACGAAAAATCATGCAAAACTTGACTAAACAAAAACCGAGTCGCCTCTGTAAAGCATCGTGCGTCATGCGCCGTTCGCGACGTGCCAACGGAGGCAGGGCGCGATGTTCCACCGGGACAATCTGAATAATTCTAGGGATGTGGAGCCGTCTGGGGCATGACGCAGGTCCGTCCTAAGGAGTCTTAAGCAGGGCTCGGGTTGCTGTCCAGCAAACGGATGCTGAATCCTCAACCCTCCGCTCGACGAGCCACACAGGTCAACCTGTCGTTGCCCTGCTGGTTGGCATGATTGTGAACCAACAGCTCCAGACAGCAGTCTCCTTGAAAGATTGCAAGCTGTCACGCGGCCGTCGTTGGCCCGTCGTGCACGGATCAGACAGGCGCTGGAGGAGACAAGGAAGGGCAGTAGAGGAGAGTGGAGAGGAAGCAGACCCAAACTTACCCACTATCTTACAAGGGGTTCTGTACTAGTTTCGCATGGGGTCTGACTCTGCCGGCCAGGAGCTCCGGCTCCTGGCCCTGCCTGCCTTAAGGGGGCGCTGTATCAAGGGAGCATCACCGGCTTCATGCCTTCATGGGATCGTGGACGTTATGCTGATCTTATGCAGGCCCTATTCGCGACACGGGAAGATGGAGGTGCCTTTGACTCTGGATCTCTCTTACGTGCCAGAAGTGGCAAAGCGAAAGTCAACTTGTGTGACTGTGCGACGGATCTGCGAGGGATCGAGGAGAATCTTAGTCCCGCATGATTCCACAAAACTTCGTGACTGCCCCATCCCAGGCCTCCAAAGCTCGTGACCAGCAAGTCACGGTCTCATTATCTTGAAACACATTCTGTGCTTCAACGGGTCTTTCTTTTTGCTTCGGGACTCCATGGATTTGCCCGGGGCACAGCCGCCTTGCTTGCAGCAACCATGCCAACAGCAACCACCACATTCGATTCCGAAAAAGGCGGCACACTCCAATCAAGCATGCATGCTTACCAGACCAACCTGACACAGGGCTGCTAGGCAGCCCCATGCGACAAATGCTTAAGACTCTAGACCACTCAGACGTGAAACCGGCGTTCTCGGACATGGTGATCACACAGACGCAGATGCAAGCACATCCACAACTCAGGTCATATTCCCAGTACTGCGGGCTGCCACTGTATCGGCACCAATTCAAGTGTGACAACGGAGTCATCTGTAACAAGCGGCGTGCGAGATGTAAGCAATGCACCTTCATCGTAACACGACGAGGCAAACAGCTGGAACATGAAGCGCGGCTTGCCCGTAGGAAAATAGCGACTGACATTCAGCAGCAAGCACTGGACATCATTGGACATCGACCGCATCCGAGAGCTGTAAGGTTTGTGGGCCATCAACAGTGTCAACCCATGCCATGCGCAAACTATGGAGGATTCCAACTCAACGACGGCGACAACCAAGGAGCAGGCTGAGAAAAGGCCCCCGAACCGATGTCCAGATCCGCTCTTCAGACGACTTCAAGTCTGGTCCAGTCTGGCGTCACGGTTACATGCAAACCCGAGCTTCGCCAAACGTTGTGGTCGCTGGCACAGGACGCCAACGTCGAGCATGCGCAGTAACTGCGCAACCCCAGTTGCACCAACATCTGCTGGGCCTTCAGCGGGTATACTCAGAAGGACACCATCAACCCTACGACGGAGGTGCTCAAAACCCTCACGCAAGGCTTGCAACTACCTCTGCTGCAGCATGGCATCAATCCGTTGCTGCAGATTCTGTTGGCAGGGCTTGTGAACCTTTCGGTGCCAGGTTCGACGATGGCTCGGTTCAAGGACTGATTGGAGAGTTCACAGAGTCGAGAGCCTTTTTTGGCCCCTTAAGAAGGCCGCTGAGTCGATCGAAGGCAGACGTGTCAGACTAGAAACTGCATGCATACGGGACTACAAGGAAGATTCTCAACAAGTGTCTAAAAGTAGCTTCGACCAGAAAGTCTCATGTGATTCTTGATGCCTCAGTTGATCCGGACGCTCTGCCTGCTGTCTGAAGGCTTCAACTCCATAGAAACAAAGCTACATGCTGAGGCAACCTCCCTCTCTGGATGAAACAGGGCTCTGACAGGTATATCCCAAAGACGGGGATTCCTTCCTCACCTTTGACGTAGGCCTCCTGCCCTCGGAAACAGTCAGACCTTTCCCAGACTGGGGCGGGGGTTGCACTTCGCAGTCAACAGATGTGCCCATGGCCAACCCAGAGCCCGCTCGGACCTGGTGGCACGAGGAACGGGTTCAAAGATCCCAGAGAAAATCCCAGAGTAGTTTTGCTTATGCAAATGGTTCTCTCGAGAAAACTCCAGCACGAGACTCACAAGGTTGGTGACATGGGCGCTGGACCTGACTGCTGAAGAAGCATGTACTGCCGAGGACGGAAATCTCTGTTGCGGACCATTGGTAGCATAGAACGGTCGACCATGCTCCCAAATCCGAAACATGACACAAGCTACTGGTAGCAGGTGGGAGCTTCCCCGAAGACTGACAAGTGTTTTAAGCTGATCCAGGTGGGATGCCACCTGCTGACAAGTCCTGCCATACGAGATGGGTCATCCCCCCTGCTAACAATGTGCACCTGTGAGCAGGGCGCTCGCACACAGACTTTCCGGGCAAGGCATGTCGGGCAGGGTTTAGGCAGAGTTTTGGGATTTTGGGGATGCAGAATTGCAGAGGCATGGAGCGCACTCTTCCAGAATTTGAAGACTTGCAGGGTTTCGAATTTCCCTGGAATATTTCTCGAAACAGAAGCCCTAGACTTAGACCCTGACATTTCGCACGCTGGTCACCACATATTTCAGGTAACGCTAGCCCCGGACTGACTGTTGAAAACAACCGGCACGGAGACCTGCCGCTGCACAACATGTTACAATGCTGCTGCTGATTCTGATGGGCGAAGTTCTGTATTGTAGTAGCGGAAGTAAGCCTTTGTGTGAAGCCTGCGGGTCTTGCAGCTCATCTTGGTTCTATCTTATTGGCACGCAAAGTCCTGAGGCGACAAACAAACTTGCAGGATATCCTGCGGCTGGCTTTGAGGCGCCACTGTGCGAACTGAGATCGCGACACAACATTGCAACCGTGGTTCAGAGTCGACATAGCTGGCCCCACCCAGCCATTCCTTTG